AAAGAAATGCAGCCATGCAGAGGGTCCAGAAGTGGGGAGTGGAGGTTAAATGTGTCAGTCAACTCCAGGAGAGCCCTGGAGTGGGGGTTTTCTGGCTTTAGAGTGGCTTCACAGAGCACCAGCCGGCTCCACAATCATCACCATCATCATCGTGCTAATTATCATTATTAAAAAATCACTCTTTTAATAATATTGATATCAGTATCAGCAAAGCAGTCATAGTACACTTACAACTGATCTCAACACATGTCTCACAACAGCGCCTAAGGGAAGGATCTTCAGGGAACACATGCAAGGCCCCAGAAGGCAAGTGTCTCTTCACTAACCGACAAAAGTGTGGCGGTTATGGGCTAAGAAAATCTCGTTGCACATGCTTTGTATCCTGATCAGATCGTTGTGAAGGGTGTAAGAAACACTGAAGGAAACTCGCTGGTCCCATTCTACTGCACACATCTGTGATTGCATCTGTACCAATGCTTTGATGTCTTCTGGTAATTTTCAGAATGATGGTTAGATTCATTAAGCAAATTAGTGTTGTTTGTTCATGAGACTGAGTGAGTGTCACATCACCATGTGATTCTGGTCAGCAGCCCCTCTATATGTGAAATGTTCTTTTAAACCAGTCGTGGTAGCACATATGGGTACATGTGGGTACAGCCTTTCTGGAAATCAATGTGACTGTGCACATGAAAAGCCTTGACATAGTTTAAACCCTTTGGTCTTGTGAGTCTCCTGGGATTAGTCATGAAGAAAGAACCACAGGTGCAATCACAGATGCATGCACTAGATTATTAATTACATTGTTATTTCTATGTAGTTCAAAAATGCTGAAATCCCCAAAGTATCCAACAATATGGTAAATTCAGTGGACACACTATTATGCAGCCATTAATAATAATGATACTGGAAATGTTCAAGATATTTTGTTACTGTTAAAAAAAAAGATGTAACACTACTATATTCTTGTATTATTCTAATTTTATTTGTACAACATACTGATATATATGTAAATAAAAGACTAAAGTAGTCTTACAGTAGTATAATTTTTGGTGATTTTTTACTTATTTTTTCTATAGACAACATATTTTCACAAAATGATCATTTGTTAATAATCAGATAAAATGTCTTTAGAAAATACAATATGCAAGTCATAAGGCTTATGAAAGGTTATAGTGATGTCTCAGAGTGCAGATGGGTGAGGTGTTCCTCACCTTCCCTAAAGCTGGGAACTCTGCTTCTTCTTAGATCCTTCCTCTTAGAGTGAAAAAAGCCTACTTAACAAATCCATACTTTGATGTTTAGGTGTTCCTGAACTTGTTTGTTGAAAATATCATCCTTTAAAGATGACACCAAGAGAAATGAAAAGGATTTATGCTGCTAAATGATGTGCTGATGGTCCTGCTAAAGCATCAGTCAGAGAACTGTCTCAGAGGCTTCTTTGAGAGATGCTCCAAATGCCTGTGCTCTTGTCTTCTTCCTGGGCACATGGGACATCTCTTGTGGTTTGGGGTGGACATGTTAAGTGATTTCTAACCAATGAAATGAGAGTGGAAAGGATGTGTACCACCTTAAGACTTGGTCCATAAATAACTCCTGTGCTCACTCCTCAATGATCTTTTTCTGCTTTGGATGAAATGATCACATAGACAACACATGGCAATGGCTAAGCTCTCATTAGCCTCCATCCCTTGATAATTCTGATCTGTACACCCACTCAAGACTGTTGGATCAGCAAGAAATATACTAAATTCTTTCAAATTTGTTATATATTTAGGAGCTTGTTTGTTCCAGCAGCAAGAGTTAACCTAACTAACACAGCCACGTTGACTGACATACACTTAGCTGTATGCACAGCCTGCTCAAAGGCATTCTTGGTGGAGAGGTGGAGATAACACTTTAGTGCAGAAATGACTTCACAAAACTGGTGAGGGGAGTTAGAGAATAGACCATTGGTACTGTTTTGTAAATCACTAGAGTCCTAAAAGATTTGATTTTTATTTTGTTTACATGAAGATAGTGAAATGCATTGCTTTCCCATAAGAACTTCAGAATAAATAAAAGATCACCGCTCTCTGGATTGTTACTTTTATCATCTTTTATCTTGTTTTTGACCTTTCTTCTTCTGTTTGGATGTAGGCCCCATGAGGGTGAGATATTTAACTTGTTAATTGCTGCTGCCCCAGTTCCGAGAAAAGTTCTTAGAATCATCAGCATACGTTATGCATTGGCTAAAGATGTGAGTTAATATAATAATATAAGCTGGATACAGATAAATTCACTTGGTGAGACTTACAGCTCTAAAACTTGACCAGGAGTTCTCGGTTGGCAGAGAAAGAATTTGATCTGACACACTCGTGTGATTGCACATACAGCAAACACACATGAGACCGTCAGTTTCCGAATTTCATTTCGCATTAGAAGATGTATCTATCAGATGCACCTAGAGACGAGAGACGGCTGACAAGTTTACTGAGTGCACCTGTCCCTTCAGTTCCCATCTCTGTCTCTTGCTGGAGTCATTTTAACTCTAAGGCAGGTTTCCAGCTCTGACCGGCACAGATTCACCACCTGATGACAGAGAGCCATCTATTTGCTCTCATCTTACTATCCCCAGCAGATGGCTCAGAGATAAATAGCTAATAAATCACAATTTCCATGTGTGAGAGGGTCCAGCTACAAAGTGCTTATTTGCTCTTAAAATTACTCCTTTTGCTGCTGACCTATGGTGTCATCTCGTGTACACTTTTGCATGATTGGCTATCAGATTCCATCTTTCCTTTTGGAGCTTTAATTGTTGATTGTTCATGTGTTTACGTATTAGTCAGAATTCTCCAAAGAAACAAAACCAATAGATGTCGATATATATACACACACACACACACAGACAGTGATTTATTTTAAGCAGTTGGCTCACATGATTGTGAAGGCTTAGCCAGTCCCAAATCTGATGGTGGAGGGAGACAGATTGAAGAACTCAGGAAGGAATTGAAGTTCAAGTCCAAATTCAGTCAGTAGATGCAACTTGTAGAACTAAGAAGAACAAATGTTACTAATCAGGCCCAAAGGCACTGTGCTGGAGAATTCCCTTTTGCTCTGGGGAGATTAATCTTTTGTTCTAGTTAGATCTTCAACTGATTGGATGAGGCCCACCCATGTTATGGAGAACAATCTGTTTTACTCAAAATCTACCAAATTTAAATGCAAATCTCATTTTAAAACACCCTCATAGAAAGATCCAGAATAATATTTAACCAAATAATTGGGCATCATGGCCCAGACAAGTTGACATATAAAATTAATCATCATAATTTGCTTGCTTGCTTTTTTTTTTCCTTTATTTGTTTTTGGCTATGTTTTCTTTCTACCAATCCTCTTGGGAGCTTGGGGTCATTCAATCCAAAACCTTGTGATGATCTGGAAAGTTCCAAGCTCACATTCCAGCCCTGCCACTGGATAGCTGAGTAACAAGACAACTTACCAACTGAAGAACCTTCAGTTCTTCTTCATCGAATGGTGATGCCATAAGTCATAGATTTATTAGAATCATCAAATGAGAAAAATACACGTTGGCAAGCTCTGTAAACACAAGTTCACATTGGAACTATTATTTGAAATTGTGTTTATATATCAAAGATACTACCTTTCAAACCAACAAAGGAGAAAATAGAAAATTCCTCATTTGAAGCACATTACAGTTGTAAGTAACTGGTTCCTGGGAATAAAGAAAGATCAAATTAATGTATCAAATTTCCTCATGAAGGGACAGTGATTTTAAGAGTTAAGAAAAGCTTCAAAGACCACAAATGATTTTTGAAGATGCCAGGAACAGTGTCAAATTTAAAGTGTACAAAGTATTCATGTCTAAGGTCAGGGGAGTTAGCACACCCCTCATTCTCCCCCAGTGAATCCTGGAGATGCTGGGTAGAATGGGGGTCCTGTGACAACTGAGGCATGGGGGCACAGGGGAGATGGACCAGGTCACGAGAAGCTGCTCGGAAGGACCAGATAGGGCTAGCTCATCACTTCCCCACTCTCGACGTACAGTTAACATCCCACATGCGGTTTGATGTTGGGTGACTTTGTGATGGTCTGTTTCCGCTGCTCCAGCAGTCTCTCTGCTTCGGATTCCTGACCAGACTGTTCCCCAGCTCCAAAGAGGGAAGGCATTTTCACCCTCACCTCGGTCTCAGGTCCACTTGCTGAGTCCTCTTTCCAGCACCAAGGCAGACCTTTTCTAACATCTTAGGTTTCAGTTCCTTTTATAGAAAATATCCAGTCTCAGAGGGGAGCCCTTGCCCGCTGGTCCCACCATGTCAGAAGTCCAACATGAGTAGAGTTCCCAAGGTCAGTATCCACCAGCCTTAAGTAACTCCCCCCCTGGGGCAAAGGTGAGAATTCATTATGTCCAGGCCTGTTTCTTTTCAAAGTCTCCACTCCAGAAATTCAGAAAATCTGGGGATCCTGTCTCACTCAAGGTCGCTTACTACTGGCCGTGTTATTGAGTGTTTCTGGACAATCTGTTATCAGAAATTAGTGCCTATTCCTGCTTGAAACTTCTTGGGCCACCTTAGACCCAAATGGAGCACAGCATTTTCCCCTTGAACGAAAGATTACGTGGGTCTAGCACGTCTCCAGAGAACACAGCATTAAGATCCAGCAAAGACCGTATCAAGCATCTTGCAATGTCCTTGTGGTATGAAAAACAAAGTAATTTCCTCATACTTCATTGGCAACATACATGCATGTTCTTAAAAGCAGGAATGTGTCTTTAATGTGTCAGACCAGCTTTGATATCGATAATATGCAGAGATTTTTACATCAACATTTTTTTTTCATTCTGTAAGAACTGGAACAAAGAGACGTTTATAGCGTGATTTTATTCTTTTTGTGATAATGGTAACTTGGTGCAGCTTTGCATGGTAGACAGTTCTATTTCAAAATGTGCAAAAAATCAGATTTATGAACACTTTGCTCATATTGCTTCTCTGTGCTTTCTCTAGGAATGCCCCAGTGGTGTTGTTAATGAAGAGACCTTCAAAGAGATTTACTCGCAGTTCTTCCCGCAGGGAGGTAAGTACCAGTGGGGACCAGTGAACGTGCTCTCAGTTAGAACTATGCTTCCAGTCGAGTTTGGTTTAATCTTTCATGGCGTGGCTCTCGATTTTTCATCTTTATGTAAAATAATGAATACACAGCTTGCAAGTGCATATGATTTCCAATACATCATAAAAGCGATCTACTTACAAATTATCAAATATCCTAGAGTTCACTCTTCAGTTTAATGCAAGTAGTATTCTTGTGTGACTGGTACTGCATCTCTCAGATGCACAGCGCTCTCTGACTCTGATGGTCCTGAATGTGCCACAGAGCTTTCGCCTGCACTTTAGGTCTCATTCTCCCGACTCTCAAAATTAGGACAAATGTAATTATCCTCAATGTTCAGATGTGAAATCTGGGGCTTAGAGAAGCTAAGTGTTTTGCTCAGGGTCACACATCCACTAAGTGGCAGATCTAGGTTAGAGCCCAGATTTTTTTCTGTAGCTTCATCTAGTGTTCACTCTGCTGGTCCTCTCTCTTTCAGTAACTCTTTACTATCACCCCTCTCCCTGCATCTAAGAAAATGAGTACCACTCTAGACATCATTTTAACCAAAAGAAAACAAGGAAAACATAGTGATAACACAGACATGTTAGAGGTGAGTGAAGAGATGTGCTTGCCACTGGACCTTAGAGGCTCTCTGTCAATCCCCTGAGGGATGCCCAGCTCAAATTTGTCCCACGACCTCCTGGGTGCCCAGCTATGTGTTAGGTGCTGATGATGTAGGAAGAATGAGATGTGGTACCTGCTCAAAAGAATGCTAGTGTCTAATGTAGCAGGCGGACAATGTCAACATAAAGTGTAAGCATGAAGACAGGGGTTGAAAGAATAGTGTTATGAGCCTGATGCAGGCACAACTAGACAGCTGAATGACAGGGAGGAAGTGAAAAAGAGTCTGCCGAGATAAATGGAACCTGAGCTGAAGTAGCTACGATCCACCAGGTGTCCACTACGTGCCTGGCCCTGGCACACATTACCCATCACCTTTCAATAACCATAGCTTGGAATCTGCCTTTCTAATAAATGTGGACGCTAAGGTACAAAGACATTCACCCATTTCCTCACCATCATCTTTCTACTTCTTTTCCACTTAAAAGAACCCCCATCATCTCATTCCAAAATACTGCAATGGTCTCTAAATTAGTCTCTCTTGATTCTAACCCTTTTCCACGCTCCCCCCAGCCATGGTCCATTCTCAACATGAGCCGGAGTAATCCTGTAAAAATATAAGCCAGGTCGTGTCACTTGCTCTGCTCAAAGCAAGAGCCACGACCTATATGATGGTCGCAACAAGGTGTGGTCACTTGTCCCTCTCTGCCTCCTCCTACACTGACCGTCCCTTCCCTCATCTCCTTGCAGCCGCCGTGGCCCCTTGCCCTTCCTCCAGCACACCATTCCTGTTGCCACCTCTGGTCCTTTGAACTTGTCATTCCCTCTGCCTGGATTTTCTTCTCCCAATTATCCATCCCAATATCTCAGCACCTCTGCTTTTATTCAAAGGCTGCCTTCTCCATGAGGCTTTCCCTGGCCGCCCTGTCTTAAACTGCAGCTTCTTAAACGTTCCCCATGTGCTTTATATTTCTCTCCAGCACTCAAGAACATCTGAGAATATATATTTGACTTTATTTTTGTAGTTGCTTCCTGTCTCTTTTCCCATCAGAACGTCACCTTCAAGGGAACATAAGTTTTGTCTGTTTTGTTCACAGCCATATCCGCAGCTCCTGGACTGGGGACTGACAAACAGTCACACTCGATAGATACCTACTGCATAAGTGAGGGAATGTGTGCCGAGCGACGGCCGCTGCAAGATGGAATAATGCCTAGGAAAGGCATTTTGAATGTATACGACATTTAAATATTGTTTCATACAAAAATTAGATTCTCTTTCGGTTTTAGATCTGTCAGTAGGTTGAAGACAGTTTCATGCTTGGATTATTAAAAGAGAAAATTCACTTGCCAGGGCCTTTTCAAAGCCTTAGATTAGGATCCTGAGAAAACACAGGGTGACCCATTATTGCATGAATTTGGATATATCACGGCTGACAACCCCCCCCCCGCATGTCATTACTAACAGCCCTGCAGACAGATATTGGTCAAAGGACCTGAAGCCAGGATTGTGATGGGTCCATTGTCTGCATTAATAGAGAATTTAGAATGTCAGTTGATGAACACATATTTCGAAATTATTTTAAAAAACACAGAATTTTTAAAATGGTATTTACTATAAACTAAATGTCTGCCAACCCATTGATAGGCATTAATATCAAAGCACTTAGCACAAATGGAAATCTTTTAGTTACTTTTTGATGAGCTCAAGTGAAATGAAAGTCATTACATGCTACAAATTGGATACAACTCCACATTAAAATTTTATCTTTCTTTGAAAAATAACGTGTCAACATTAGAGAACATCCGCTGAGGCGCAGTCCTTTGCAAAGGATTCTTGTTACAAAGTCCAAAGGGATTTGAAGAAAAATCACTTTTGCACCCTTAAAAAGTCTTTGATTATTCATGTTAATTGAATGCATCAATCTAAAAGCACCCGGCATCAGTGAAGGAAATGAAATATTTTAAAGAATGATGACTTGCAATTTTAAAAATTAATATCCTGCATGCAAATTGTATCTTGCAGCGCTGCTAGAAAAGACAAAATGTCCCAGGGAAGAGCGCAGTCTGGGACGGCAGGCAGACCCGTGTGAGGGCCGTCCCCAGGCTTCTGTGGAGTCATTTATTTAGGCTGATGGTGTGAAAGCAACAGATTTCTCTCATTATGAGTCATAACAATGATGGGTCCATAAATCACAATGTCTCACCATTTCCTCCAGAAAGACGCTTTGTCTCAGCGCCAGGCTCTCCTGCAGTTTGCACCGTCAGGCTCTTTAGTTTTCCCCGCTGCTTAGCGAGACGGTTTCCCAAGCACAGCTTGTTCGGTGTTCGGGACGCCAGCACAGCTGGACTGAGCAGAAGCTTCCTGTCTGGTGGGGATGAAGCGCACCCTGTTATAAAACAAGGCAGGAGGAAATGCGCCTTACCTGTGTCATTACAGCCACGCTCTTCAAAGCCACGTTCAGGGGAAGCCTTAGTGTAGAAGCACTTAGCTCACTAGGCATTTAAAGCTCATGCCAATTGCAGTTCCCTGGGCTACGCATGCTTGTGTTGTAGGAATTTTGCACTTACTTTGACTCTACGAGGCACCTGATAAACAGCTACTGAAGGAATGAATGAATGAGCTTCAGTCTGAAGAATCTAGGTCAACAAATATTAATTGAACAGCTACTGAGTGCAAGGCATTTGAGGCTCTTAGATGAGCTCTGTGGAAATGATGGTTTACATTTTGTTTTCCCCAAGTAACTCTGTTCACTGAATGTCCTTCTCATCCTCAGACAACATTTTCAGGGTGATTTATAGAGGACACACTGAACAGGAACTACTACTCACGTCCATGGCCCGTCTTACTGTAGCAATAGTGCCACGACTTGTACACTCAGATGCATTAAGCTAATTCTGCACCTCGTGCTTGAATTCAAGTGAGAGTAGGGGACTCGTGGTGGGAAGAAAGACATCAACCACACTGATTTCAATCCACACACTTGGAACATGATAATCAAGTACATTTGTTCAAATATTCTGAAATGTATGTGTATCAATGGGCTTTTAAACCAAGGGGTTACCTGGTATCATCACTGTGGTCTGGAAATAATTGGGTTAAGGACACTGGACTGAGTCAGGAGCCCTGACTTTATGGATAGACTCTGCCACCACCGAGGTCTGTGACTCAAATGGTTTATTTCTCTGGGCCTCAGGTTGTTCCTTTGTAAAATGTGGAACAAAAGAATTCTCACGTTTTCTTTCTAGTGTAACATCCTTTATTTCTGAGAGTTAATGTTAGAATGTCTTCATTTCATTCACGACCCTACCAGTAACTAACTAGGTGACCTTGGCTATGTCATTAACAGTACCTACACCCATTTTCCACCTTTCTTAAATGTATAGATAAATAGCTAAATGGTATCCAAGATCCTTTCTTATCCTAAGACTCTACAAATTTTGTCCTCCAGCTGTAAAATTTCAACATTTAATTTTCAGCTTCACAAGTAAAATGATAAGAAACTGAAAAAAAAATCATGCGCAACTCAGCAACTGTTTTTGTTATATGTATGGAATTGTGGTCAAAGAAGACTGTCAGGTCATATGGGGGGAAAAGTCATTGCTATGTCATTTGTGCCCTGAACTGTACTGAAATCTAGAATCCAGGATGTCAGTTATTCATCCTTCTCACAAATATTTACTGAGCAAGAGGAGCGCAGTCAGATGAAATCAGACCGTAGACATTTGTGTGGGCGGTTTCCCGTCCCCTCTCGGCGTTCACCTCTGTGCCCAGGCAGGCGCTTCCAGTGCCTTAGCTCCCTCCTCTCCCCCCAGCAAAGCTAGCAGCATCATTCCCCTTCCTTAAAACGCTTTTACTGTCTCCAAATCCAAACTTCATCAGAACCTCGATGCCACTTGTGCCATAATTATACTAGTCTTCACTAGGCCTGAAGTGCCATTAAATTAGAACTTCAGTCACTTAGATACACAATAGAAATTTTACACGAAACTGAAACATTTTCAGGTGAAATATATTAAGTCTGGGAAAAATTCAGTCCCATTTCTTTAAGGTGGTTGAGATAAGAGTGGCTTGTCTCTGAAAGAATCGTAACGATAGTTAATTTAGTGAACATCTGGGGTGTGCCTAGGACTATTCAAGGAACTTTATGTAAATTATCTCACTTAATCTCTTTATGGTGACTCTATGAAATACGTATTGTCATCGTTTTGTAGATGGGGACATTGAGTCACAGGGAGGTGAAACAGCTTGCCCAAGGTCACACAGTTAGTATTTGGTGGAGCTGAGATTCAAATTCAGGCCGTCTGACTCCACCGCACTATTAGCAGCCTCTCTCTGCCGGGTACATCTAGGCTGGAAAACTGACTTCACGATCCAGGGAAACTGCCGAGGTACAACTTAGAGGAACGAGAAGTCCTCGGTACCGCATTTGGGCAAATCGTGAGAGTGTGCGTCCCGAGTGTCAAGCTTGAGAGCAGCCCCGCCTGAGAAGAATGGCAATTATTGTACGCCCACGTTATCCTGTGTTTTCAGTTTTTAAAAGTTTGTCAACATCGTTTGTTCTGAGCCATCATTCATGGTGAGTTCTGCTTGCTAAGGTAAAGGCACTTACCCTGCTTGTATAAATAAAGTAACAAGGGGCCTGCTTAATGAAGCTTGTTTTAAAATGAGCAAAATCCTTTTATTTTTCTCCCCCGAAAACAAGTTCAACGTGCCATCTGTCAACTCATTTCTTCCTAGGGCACTAAGCAGTTCAAGAAGTCTGTGCTAAAGTACTGTTGAGAGCAAACCAACTTTGTAAATAAAAAAATAGGCTGACAGTTCTTGATAATTCTATCGTGGAACTTCCCAACAACCGCAGTAAGCGGATCGCAATTAAAATCCTGGTTCCATCCTTCAGAGGGCTGCGCAACCCCCACCACTAGATGGACATCTACTCTACATGCGATGTTTTTACATATTATTTGGGGCTGACTGTGGTGCCCGTTTGGTTCACTGGCAACAATGATATTAATTCGTACGTTTTAAAAATAAGTGGTTCCTCATAGCATATTTAAAGGTCAGAGGTGAAAGAAAATGCTACGGCCATTCTGAAAAACTGAGTGTACAGCTTACCCCATGAAGCTTATGGCATCAATAGCGTTAACCATTGGGGTTCACTCCCTGCAGGAGCAACCGTCCACACATAGGCCGCGGATGCTCGAGAGCTGGGAGAGAAGTCTGCGTGACCTCTGACCTCCCTTATTTGGGGAGAGCAGTTCTCAACTCCCACTGCTATGACCTAGCTTCTTGACAGCCTTCAAAAAGGAATTCAAGAAGTAAAAGGCGAACAGAAGTTTTGTTAAATCCCAGTAAAAACAAAGGTTAAAAGTTATAAAATAGAAACAGGCGAGATTTTAAACAGAAGATAAAAGGCTGGAGCCAATAAATGAAAAGGTTACAATTCTTTTCAATATAAAAAAGGTTAAGGTAAAAGGCTAAAACCCGTGAGATGCAACATTTAAAATAATCAGATTTGCTCAAGGGTCCAGCAAAGGAGCACTTAAAAATTAAAACCGCGCGGTAAGAAAACAATAAGAACAAATATATGCTTTTGAAATAAAAGGGCAGAAAGCTCAGAGATTAGGGAGACAAAGGAGAAAAAAGAAAAGAGGAAGGAAAGAAAAACTAGAGGGAAACTGAAGCAAACTCAGAGGAGGTGGAGGACTTCAGGGAGCCTCAGTGGCATTAGGCAGGACCGTGAGCTGTGGAACAAGAGTGCTGTCCAAAACCGCCCCATCGCTCAGAGACTGGAATCCCACCCAGGACCCCGGCAAAGCACGACTTCCCCGCTGCTTGCAACTGGGAAACTTTAGGACCACACAGTCCTCTGCTAACACGGCCTCAGAAACTTGCCAAGTCACCCCTGGCCCCACTTCATCAGGCAACCCTACTGGCTATGGGCTAACCTGCCTTTTTGGTCAGGAAGACCCGATTTTTGTCCCACTCTATACCCCTTATGGACTGTGTGACTTTAGGCGAATTTCTCAACCTCTCTGAGTCCCAATATCCTTACATGAGTTGCAAAGTAATGAACAAATTAATAATAATACCACCAATAAAGCTAATAGTAGCAATACCAATCATAGCAATTCATTGGTATTGCATTATTCATATTTTTATTATTTTCTTTCTCCTAGAGATAGTCCCTGCCAAGTACCAAGCAATTTCCAGATGTGTGTCCCTTAATCCCCACACCCCCCTGTAGTAACATTGCTCGTCCCGGTGTCAGTAACAGCACCCAAGACTCCCACGTGTTCAGAGCATTTCCAGCCAGACTCAGCGAATAGCTGTCACCAGTGGCCTCTGTAGGCAGCTCACACCTGTGACCCTCAGGTGACAGTCCCCTGCTGAGAGCAGGTGGGCAGCGGGGAGGAAAGCACAAGTCAGGGGAGACAGTGCCTTTCCCTGGGTGGAAAGAGCCTTGGACGTGCTATACATGTCTTCTGTAGGATGTTGAAATGCTAACCTACCATTATTTCCTTTTCAACATTTCAGACTCTACAACATATGCACATTTTCTGTTCAATGCATTTGATACGGACCACAATGGAGCTGTGAGTTTTGAGGTAAGACTTAGACTTTTTTTTTAATATGCTTTGATTTTAGACATGCTGAAAGGGATTTAGCACTTCGATTCTATAAATTAACTATTTTAGATACCTCATATAAGTGGAATAATCCAGAATTTGTCTTTCTGTGATGGCTTATTTCATTTAGCATAACATCCTCAAGGTTCATCCTTATCAAATATTGCAGAATTTGATTTTTTTTAAGGCTGAAAAGCATCCCACTGTATGTATATATTACATTTTCCTTACCCATTCATCTATTCACGAACATTCAGGTTGTTTCCACATCTTGGCTATTGCAAATAGAGCTGCGTTGAACAGGGGAAGATTAGTATCTCCTCGAGAGCCTGACTGCAACTCTTTTGGATAGATATCCTGATGTGGCATTGTTGGATCATATAATAGACCTATTTTTAATTTTTTTGAAGAGCCTCTATATTGTTTTCCTTGGCGGTTGCACCATTTTACATTCTCACCAGCTGTGTGCAAGTGTTGCAATTTCTCTTCATTCTCATTAACACTTGTTATCTTTTGTCTTTTTGAGAATAGCCATCCTGAAAAGTGTGAGGCAGTATCTTCTTGTGGTTTTGATTTGCATTGACCTGATGAGCAGTGATGCTGAGCATTTTTCATATACGTTTTGGCGATTTGTATATCTTCTTCAGAGAAATGTCTCTTCAAGTTCTCAGCCCATTTTTTTTTTTATTAAGGTTGTTTTGGCTTTTTTTAACTATTGAATTATAGGAGTTTCTTATATAGTTTGGAGATAACCTTTTATCAGACACACAGTTTCCAAGTATTTTCTCCCATTCTATAGGTTGTCTTTTTACTGTGTCGATTGTTTCTTTTGCTGTACAGAAGCTTTTCGGTTGGTTGTACTTCCACTTACTTTGATGTAATTCCGCTTGTTTATGTTTTTGTTATTGCTTTTGCTGTCAATGTTTTTGGTGTTGTATCTGTGAAATCTTTGCCAAGATTAATGTCGTGAAGTTTTTCCCCTGTTTACTTCTAGGAGTTTTATGGTTTCAGGCCTCATGTTTAAGTCTTTAACCCACTTTTAATTTATAATTGTGTATGTTATGATGCAGGGATCCAGTTTCATTCTTTTGTGGTAGATAGGCAGTTTTCTTTTCCCCTTTGTGTGTCTGTGGCACCCTTCTTGAAGACCAGTTGACTGTATATGCATGGATATATTTCTGAACTCCCTATTCTAGTCTATTGGCTTATATGTCTCTTTATGCCAGTGCCACTGTTTTGATTACTATAGCTTTGTAATATATTTTGAAATTTAATGCCTCCAACTTTGTTCTTTTTTCTCTAGGTAAATTTGGGTATTTGTAGTCTTTTGTGGTTCCACATGCATTGTAGAATTGTTTTTTTCTACTTCTGTAAAGAATTCCATTGAGATTTTGATAGGAATTCCATTGAATCTGCAAATAGCTTTGGGTAGTGTGGACATTTTAACAATAGTAAGGTTTCCAGCCCATGAACTTTCCGCTTGTTTGTGTCTTCCTCAATCTTTTTATCAGTGTTTTCTAGTTTTACATAAGACATTGTATGTACAAGTCTTTCACCTTCTAGTTAAGTTTATTCCTAAGTAAATCATTCTGTTCTTTTCGGTGCTATTGCAACTGGGATTGCTTTTCTCATTTCCTTCTCAGAAGCTCATTGTTGGTGTAAAAATGTGCACTGACTTTTGTATATTGATTTTGTGTCTTGCAACTTTGCTGAATTTGTTCATTAGTTCTAGGAGCCTTTGGAGGGAGTATTTTGAGGATTTTCTATATGTAAGAGGACGTCATTTGATTTATTTTACTCGTCTTTCTGTCTGAGACTTCCAGGACTATGTTGAATGGAAGAGGCAAGAGCGGGCATTCTTGTCTTGCTCCTAAAGTGAAAGAGGGAAAGCTTTCAGTTTTTGTCCAGTGAGCATGATGTTAGCTGTGGCCTTGCATACACGGCCTTTATTATGTTGAGGTGCTTTCCTTCTATTCCTAGTTTGTTGACAGTATTTGTCATGAAGGGGTATTGAACTTTGTCAAGCACTTTTTCTGCATCTTTTGAGATGATCAAGTGATTTGTATCCTTACTTCTGTCAATGTGGCGTATCACATTTAATATGTTGATCCACCTTTTCATCTTAGGGATAATTTCACTTGGTCCCAGCGTATGATCCTCGTAACGTGCTGTTGGATTTGGTTTGCGAGTGTTTTATTGAGGACATTTGCATCTGTGTTTATCAGGAATATCGGCCTATAGTTTTCTTTTCTTGTGATGTCTTTGTCTGGCTTTGGCACCAGGGTAACGCTGGCCTCATCTGGAAGTATTCCTGCCTCTTCAATTTTTTGGAAGAGTTTGGAAAGGAGAGTGTTAGTGTTAGTTCCTTGAACATTTGGCAGAATTCACTGGTGAAGCCATCGGGTGCTGGGATTTTCTTTGTTAGAAGTTTTTTGGTGACTGATTCAATCTCCTTGTTATTGGTCTGTTCAGACTTCATATTTCTTCATGATTCAGTCTTGGTAAGTTGTGTGTATCTAGGAATTTATCTAATTTTTTTAGGTTATCCTAAAAATTCTGTCTGTCTGTATCTATCTGTATATCTCTATATACATCATATATAGATAGATAGATAGTTATCTAAAAATCTATCCATATCTATCTCTTGGTACAGAATTTTTCATTATAGTCTCTTATCATATTTTTGTGTCATCAGTTACAAGATCTCTTTCAGTTCTGATTTATTTCATTATTTGAGTCTTCTCTCTTTTTCTCTTAGTCTAGTAAGGATTTGTTAGCTTTGTTTTATCTTTTCAAAACACTAACTTCTAGCTTCATTGATCTTTGCCTGTTGTTTTCCTATTCTCTGTTTTATTTCTGTGCTATCTTTATTATTCCCTTTCTTCTTCTAAGTTTTGTTTGTAATTTTTCTGTCTCTTTGAGGTGTAAAGCTACATTGTTTATTTGAAGTGTAAAGCTACATTGTTTATTTGAGGTATTTCTTCCTTATAAGTGCAGACATTTATTATTATAGACTTCTCTTTCAGGACTGCTTGATAATTTTTGAGGAGGGAAAATGAAAAGCCTGAGTATGGTTCCTTTCCCTCATTGTATTGTCAAGAAGCTGCTTTTATCTTTCAAAAGATGTGCAAATTACAACACACATTTAGTTTGCTTTCTAGTTCTTCAAATCTGTTTATACAAGGAAAGTACAGTTTCCCACCTTCAGAACAGCAAATCAAGAAGGCAAACAATTTAATTAATATTTACTGGCAGCTACTGTGGGCCTGTTAGTGTGGTAGGCCCTGGAAATACAAAGCTAAGAAAGTAAAAACCCTGCCCTTGAAGGCCCAGTAAGTGAGAGAGACAAGAAATTAAATATAATAAAATGCTATATTCACCACTCTGACAATTTTATAAGGAAATTCCTTTTCAAATTTTGTCCTTTAAGTGATTTGCATTTAATTTTATTCGTAAACTACTAAATGTGAGCATCAATGGGGAAAAAGTGCCCTGGATATTCCCATAGCTCAATATATTATTTATTTATAATAAAATAACATTTTTAAGTATTTTATATATATTATATTTATTTGTATGTTATGTATTATTTTATATGCATTATATGTATTTTATTTATATTATATAGGTAGAATATATAACTCATCCATTTGCTTATATTCTGAATGGCAGTGCTTGGTTTCTACGGAATAGAATTGTCCGTTATTTTACTCTGTAATTAATTCTGGTTTCTCTCATTAATATATGTGTTATTTTGTGATTTATAATAAGAAATATATATTTTTAAAAATGGGTATCTATTTGGTCTTAGTCCCCAGTTTCTGACAAAGAGCTCCTAAAACCCTGGGTTTTAAGAAGAGAGCACCACGGTGTCTTTTATGTTAATGAGGTGACTTTTGAACCTCCACTTGAGCTGGGGGCTGGTTGCTAGGAGAACCCACCCCTTGATTAGAGGGTTGGTACTTTCAGTCCCACCTCCCTGATCACCTGGGAAGGGAGAGCAGCTGGAGATTGAGTTCAATCACCAATGACCGATTAATTAATCATGCCTGTGGGATGAAGCTTCCTTAAGAGCCCAAAAGTACAGGCGTTCCCAGTTGGTGAACACCTGGAGATCTGCGGAGAGCAGTGTGTTTGGAGAGGGTGTGGAAGTTCAAGCCCTTTCCTCAAGCCTTGCCAAATGCATCTCTTCCACCCAGAAGCTCCTGAAGTATATCCTTTTATAAAAAACCAGCGATCTAGTAAGTAAATGTTTCTCTGAGTTCTGTGAGCTGCTCTAGCAAATAGAACCCAAGAAGGGTGAATTATCTTTTCCTTTGAAATAACACACACAGGCAGGGAGGTGGTGGAAGCCTGGGGGGAGGGAGTCCTCCAGACCCCTAAACACGCCAGTTCCTCTTTTGCAATCCTTTCACGGGGTTCCCCAAGGACTCGGAAGGAGTAGAGAGAGGGGTCCCCCAATTTTCCTAAGCTCAGAATCCAACTACAAAGTGCAGAACGTACAGGGTGGGAGTGCTGGACGCTTGGGTCAGCTGGGATGGATGGCTGTCTGCTCCTCCCAGTAGAAGCAGGTTTGCCGGGAACCTCTAATCTGTAGCCCATTGGTCAGAAGCACAGGTGACAACCTAAAATTGCGACTGACATCTGAAGCTGGGGGCTGAATGGGGGTGCAGTCATGTAGGGCTGAGCCTTTAACCTGTAGGATCCAGCTCTGTCTCCGGGTAGAAAGTATCAGAATTAAATTAAATTGTAAGACATACATCTAGTGTCAGAGATTACTTGGTGGTGTGAGGCAATTCACCCCCTCCACACACACTGAAATTGGATGCAGAATCGTTGCTATGTGTGATAGAAACCAAGTAATTTAGGGGAAATGCGTTTGGGGATTAGGAGAGGGTGCGGCTTACATAGGAGCAGGAATTTCAGTGAGGGCCATGATAAAGGGAAGCAGATGATGGAATGGGATCAACAAGGAAGGT